GTTCCATTTTCCTTGACTTCGGGTGCAAAATGTTAATAACAGTAACTTTCTATTCTATTGGACACGCTGTATTTTTCAATATATTATAAATTAAGATAATTCTTAAATGTTAATAACATTATCTTATTATATAATAATTTCTCAGTATATACTTTGAGTGCTACTCCTGTACTAACTGCGCCCAAGTACGAGCATTTCAACCTTCTTAAACATGAAACACAAAATATAAAGTTAATTGATGTAATAGTTGACTGAAACATTCATATTAAATATAGATATCATTGTTTTACTGGACACTGTATGTAATGACCAGCAATTGTTTTTTTTATTGAATAAGAGTTCAGTTATTAAAACAAAAAAATAGTAAATGTATCAGCACGATAGTAACAGAGATAATTGAAGACATTTTAAGTAAGATAACTATCATAAGGTCATACGTTGATCTTGAAATGAATTGTATTTTTACTGATAGATATATTACCAACACATGTTTATGTGAAACTGAACACAATCAGTATATTTTCCATAAATATTACATATATTGATAAAAAGCAAATGACAATATAAACTTGCAATGTTCGATATAAAATAGAGAAAAATAAAGAATTCCTAAAGAACGCACGAAACGACAAAATTGTAATGGTGCAGACTCGGCTTGATTTAGCCTGTTCATGGGCGGTAATGGAAAGTGCATGTTACCGTCCACGCCCTCTAGCACCGACTTAAACAGAATTTAACTTTTAATGCATGTGCCCTAAACGAAAAGAAAACAAAAACAAAAAACAATGGGCGTAACAAAATAAAATGGAATTTTGAAAGGGGATCAGAGTTTATAAGTTGTCACGGAGAAATTTTGAATTTAACCCATATAAATCATTCGTAAAATTTAAAGAATGTATTGCGATATCACCAAGTACAAATAGGGGCGTCCGTGGTCGAGTGATTAAGGTCGTTGACTTCAAACCACTTGCCCCTCGCCGCTGTGGGTTCGAATCCCGACAGGGACAGGGACTTTAGATTATTTCATGTAAGGAAGCTATCCAGCTAGCTTACGGAACGTCAGTGGTTCTACTCAGGTGCCCGTTCGTGCCTGAAATAATGCACGGAAAGGCACCTGAGGTCTCCTCCACCAGTAATGCATAATTACTCAAGTCTTTTAGTTTTTTTTATATCTTTCTGTTACAATATAAAATTCATTCACTGACAATTACAAAAGCATGTATTGAATTGGTGTAACACAAAAAACATCAACAGAAAAAACAACACAGAAACAAAAATCATCATTAATAAATCATAAATGCTTTTCGTTGACAGCCAATTCAAAATACAATCAGTCAATACACTCCTTTAAATATAGAAATTTAGGAAACTTGTATCCAACAGGATTTAACAATAATATTCAAATATAAAAGAGGACAAACAAGATATATTGGCAGGAACTACTGGCAGGAACAGCTTCTTATGATTGTACGAAACAAGTGAGATTTTCCCCCTGAAAACCGATGTATGAAATTATGACTTTTTTCTGACAAAAGACCGATAGGGACATTTAAACTCCGTGAATTTCCGATTTCATCTTCACGAATTCAAGACTTCAACTTCATGAATTAAGAATTTCAACTTCACGAATTCACGATGTCATCTTCATGAATTCACGATTTCAACTTCATGAATTCACGATTTCAACTTCATGATGTTGAAAGCGTGAATTCGTAAAGTTGAAATCGTGAATTCGTGAAGTTGAATTCGTGAAGTTGAAATTGTGAAATTTATAACATAAAAAAGTATTATCTGTAAAGTGTAGAAAATTAAAGCGTAACTGTCACAGTAATAATCTCTTATAAAACGATGAATTGATCTGCTTTGAAACACGTGTTATTTTGATAGTTGAAGGTGATGGGAACAGTTTCAATTGTAACAAAACTGAGTAGTAAACATCTTTCCAAGAGCTCTGAACTTGATTGTGTGACTAGAATGTATTATTTTAAAGCTAGATTTATTGCTACTTATATCAATCTCAATTATCAAATTCATTCAATTTTTTGTTATTGCCTGGTTTTACAAATGGAAAATTTTGTGTGACAAAATCAGAAGCATGTGTAGTAATCTGTAGAATCGCAATCAAAGAGTTTTAAGTTATCAATGTGTTCAAACATTTTATTGGCAAATTATATAGGGGCTGGTTTGTGCCAAATCGTATTTTTGTTTCGCCGGGTGTCAGACAAAAAAACGAAAGTATGACAAAGTGACAACTTTGTTGGACATTCGTCTTGGGGGTTGCCAGGCGAAAACATGAAAGAACGACAAAGTGATCACTCTCTGCGAGGCACAAGATGAAATCACAAATGACAAAGTGATCACTTTGTCACGTTCTCATCTTTCGCTCCGCGGGGCGCGTGACTAAAACAAACAAAAAATACGCCAGTGTGATCATTTTGTCGTACTTTCGCTCAAAAACACGAACATAGACAAAGTGTCATATATTCGTGTTTTTGGAGAGGAGCAAAAATTCGACATGACATAAATCATCCACCACAATTGTATGATGTTTGAAGAGTTTGTTTTGCGAGGGCGGAATAATAAATTGATATCAAAACGAGAGATTAATTCCATAAGACAATATGTAATATCTTGGGATAAACATTGTATCATATTATCCAGGAATCATGATTGAATATACATCTAGCAATAATCTATTGAATTATTCATTGCTGGCATTTGAATGAATTGTTCATTATAGAAAGGAAATTTTCGTTTTACAATTGATCTATAAAATATTTTGTGGATTTACTTACCAATACTGGGAGTGTTGATATTTAATATAACAAATACACTTACGGAAATTATTCAATTTAATAGAATTGCAGTATTCCTTATGTGTAAACCGACCTTTGCATTTCTTTTAACTAATTGGTCGATTCAAACTACTCCCATTAAAAGTTCTAAGCAGTTTGCTTTGTGATGATTAAAGGAACAAACACAGATTTACAATATTCACGTCCATACCGATACCCTCTTTGCGAAATCTGCTCAAACGGTACCCTCTCTGAACATGCACAGGTCATTCTCTGCTATAAACAAACCAGCGATGGATACCAATCCAGTAAAATTTCATTGTAATAAGGAAAGGAGGTATGTCACGTAGAAAAGATGTATACCACGGAACACTAGGGTGTTTTATTTATGTGCTGATTTGTCATGCGCCCGATTTTCATGTACTGCAACTTCACAATAAGCTACAAAAATCGACATGTCTTGCTTCGCCCATCACCTCGACATATTTTTCGGGCTGAAATGAACCTGTTGCTTGATTATATATGCATCATACATATTTAATATGTTCATATACATATCATCTTCGGACAAATGGCAGTATACTGTCAAAAATAAATGTAAAATTCATAAAAACACCCTACTTTCGGTTTTGCAGCGGCACGGGATACCTCTCTTCATTTGAATTTTTATATCACAGGTACCCTCTCATTTTTTAACATATAGGTACCCTCAAAGCACGGCATATGCTTTTATTTGCGTTAATCGTTAAGTTTGTAATATTTACATAAAAGTAAAAAGTATTACATACACATTTAACGATTAACGCATTGAGAGTTCAACGATTTCTACAATACATTGCCGTATTCATTTCTCACTACTTAATACTGTTATTTCAAATTAAGACAAAAAAGTTGTTTTGCCTATTGTCAAGAAATTAAATTAAATGATTCAATCAACGTTGACTTCAACGCTCAATAATAAAGACAAATGATATTTGAGTTTGGTATTATACGTTAATCATCCTTTTAATAAAATACAATAATACACTTCACACAAATGTTTTTGTACAAAGACATGATATTTCTAGTAGTGCCTCTAATGTAATTGTGTTTCATTATCTATAGTTATCTATTTTGTTTTAATTGACCCAATAATCATAGTTTATGCACTATGGAGGAACATATGTTAAGACTTCCAATACTCTGCCTAAGAACAATCTGTCAGTGCCTTGCTGATACACCGGTCATGATACTGATATAGGTTGTAAAAACATTCCGCTGTAGAGATTGCATGCCGAATTTTTTGCCATATTTCTTTCTCGCAGTCAGATTAACATATGAAGTTATTGGAATAACTCTGTAACATTCTTTCGTTTACTGTAATAATACAGGTGGAAAGTATGTTTTGATTATAAAATCTCTGATGCCATCAGATAATAGCTTTCATACATTCTTGTTTTACTTCTATGTTTTTGTTACGTTTGCGCGAAGCGTATTTACTTTTTTTAAATTTAGGTGTTCAATATGTTGTTCATTATTGGAATTAAGTGTGTCATTGCGGATGAACCATGTTAAAAAAGCAAATGTTGTTCTATGAAGCGCATATTCTTTAAAAAGTAAGGGACATATTTTAGTAAACATTCGTTTTAGATTAATTGTTTAATGAAAAGCTGGAATGAAACTATCATTTATATCTATGTTTTCATATAATAATTGGATAAATAAGAACAATTTTTATCTTTAAAGAAAACAAATGTGTAATGTTTGAAAAACCATATTTGAGCACTATGTTAACATGTTTAACATACGAGTAAAGAAAAATTCTTAAATTCTGAAATTCAAAATATACATTAATTAATTTGAATATATATTAAATATTTCAAGACATGATGAAAGTAAGATGAATGTATATTTTTTTACAATGGAGTAACGGTTATCAAAATTTTAACTTAAATGAACGTGTGTATGTGTGCGCGTGTGTGTGCGCGTTTGTGCGTGTGTGTGGGTGGGGTCAACTAACAATTTCAGTATAAGTCAATAATCTATCGATAATTGCAGTTAGGGGTAATAATTTTAAGCTTAGAAATTCTAAATTCTTATCTCAAGTTTTCAAAGTATAATATGTATAAACTTCGAGATCTCACGTTGACAATAAAACAGCATGAGAAATACCTAATGTTGCTGGTTTTTGCTTTCTTTTTTCTTCTTCCGGATTAGTTACATTCAAGTTCCATTCGTTCATTATACCGCACGTTATAGGCATGCGCAAACATGTCATTATGTTTTTTACAGACGAATTAATCACACACAGAATAAAAAGCAATGATCTCATATCTACGAAATGAGTGTCTTGGAATAATGAATAAGATGTTGGATGTACATTGTAAAATATACTGCTGGTGAATTTAAGATTAAATTGAGAAATAAAATAAAAACTAGATTTATTTTCTTTTTAATAAATCAACGTTTGGAATAGCCATAATGCATTTTGAAAGGTAAAAAAAATGTTTATTTTTGAAGACTTTAAAAAATGCATTCTTACATTTAAACTTTTGTTTTATTCTCTAAATCTTAAAATTTTTAATTCTTATTTTTATGCTAATTATTTTTTAAAGATTCAGAAATTATGATCAAATTTCAAAATTTATACATATTTTTTGCTAATCAACATAAACGAATTATCATAATAAAATATATTTATGAATACAAATACATTTAATGTATTTGAAGAAAAGTGAATTACAAAGTTCTGATCGTGTGATAAAACTTTAAATATCTTGAAATGTGTTTGATGTTAAGATAGATAACATAATCGAGCCGCGTCACGACAAAACCAACATAATGGGTTTGCGACTAGCATGGATCCAGACCAGCCTGCGCGTCCGCGCGGTCTGATTAAGATCCATGCTGTTCGCTATCAGTTTCTCTTCTTGTTATAGTTCGTAAGCGAACAGCATGGATCCTGATCAGACTGCGCGGATGCGCAGGCTGGTCTGGATCCATGCTGGTCGCAAACCGATTATGTTGGTTTTGTCATGACGCGGCTCATATATTTTTTAAGTAAATAAATTTTGAACAAACTTTTAAGATTAATTAAGGACTTTGGCATGGATAAATATCATAACGCTCCGGTTAATACATGCTTCCATTTATAACCAAACAAGGAGATGAATTATTACCAAATCAGCGCATGAGAAGGTAAAAGCTCAACGATTTATTATAAAATTGAAATATTAATAAACATAGCAGATTTTCTAAATATATCATCGATACGAGAAATAATATATGAAAAAAAAAAATTAGCACAATTGTGTTTTAAAATTTCAATATTGTAGTTTAAAACCTGGTAAGCAGTTTAAATTTGCATTCATATTCCTGTCAAAAATTTTCTTTAATTTTTATCGAACAACTTGCAAGTATAACACTTTGTTTTTTTATGGTAATAATGATTTTCTGAGAATTTGAATATACAACAGAAGTAAAAGAGAATAATTGTTTGTAATGTCGATAGGTATAACTGTATTGTTTCACGAGTAGAGAAATGTCAGTGCCTACATTGTTAAACATGTAAAAATGATATAATGAATTATAGCACTAACTTTCTTACCTGTACGGTCGGCAAGTAGCGATAGTTGCTCTGACCTAATTATTACACGCTGGGTCATGCTTTCTGCTATAGAGGCTGTAGGAAAATATAATTATAATACATATTGAAAGGTGAAGAACATCGTATGTATAAATACATAATGTATTACATGTTTTTGCGTATTTAATGAATATAGATGTATTTTATGAATTTCTCGTGGACAATACTGGGAAAGTTTCATTCACTTTTGTTGTAATTTCTGAACTGTTTTAAAAGTTATATATCATTTTCTCCTTCAGAATGGACTGTACACCATCGCCATTTCTTCTACTTTTCTTCTTTCAAATATGGATTGGGAAATCTTTAAGTGTTCGTCATTTGGCACCGCGGACAGAACTTCGACCCCATCAGTTGGAACCTCTCCGGCATGTTGCTTTGATTAAACAAGAAATTTTACGTCAGCTTGGAAAGTCAGACGCCCCTAAAACCCATAATCCAATACACAAGTCAATGCCAATCCTGGACTTCGACAATCCAGTGAGTGAATATAAAGTTCCCGACATATCTTCTTATCACTCCGAACCACCTGGTAAGTTAATAACGCTAGTTAAAGTTATACTTCTTTCAGAGTTTCTTGTCTTTTAGCATCTTCAATTCCTAAACTTTCTATATTTAAGACTAAATACTGGTACGGACGTTAACCATGAGCAGTTTTCATTGCCTCAAGAATATTTGTAAATGAAATCGAGTCTGCAATGTTCATGTATTTCCTTTCAAAGCTCTCCCGAGAAATCCCCTATTCTTTAAATTGTTTACATCTATGATACAGATGTAGTCGTATCAAATTTAAATTTGTAATTTCAATTTGCAAATAACAGAAAAACAATAGACAATACTTTTGATACTATTGAATATTGTGAATTTGTTTATGAAAATTACAAAATTTTAATAAGATGTTCTGATTAGTAAACAATGTAGACAGAAATGGATTGATGTAGTATTAGGAAATGAAGTACTATCTTAACAATTTTATAACATGTTAAAATATGCAAGTAAAGCTCTAACTAGAGAAATAAAAATATAAAAATACAAGTCACTATGGTAAATTTTCTTATTTTTTCACAATTCAACAATTTATCACACTTTAGAAAAAGGAAAACATCAACACTAAATGTAGATAAAATGGGTCCCTTTTTCAAATATTGCCGTTTTAATTGAAAGGAAAATGTCAAACTACTTAAATATTTTGCATGTTTTCTACATTCGTATGCATAAATATTGCATATATGAAACGCACGATATTGTTGTGTTATTTGTGAAAAACATTAGTATAAATCACATGCTGAACAGATTTTTTTTAATTTTACAGATAACTCCTCGGATGAAAACATTATCCAATTTAGTCTATTCAGCAGAATCAAGGGGAAAAAGATTAAAGTTGATAATGTTAACCTTCTTGTGAGAGTTAAATTGAAAAAGCCCAGAACAAACAAAAAATCAACACGGGATATTGATACAAAAAGAAAGAAAAGGCAAAGACGTAAAAAGAATTTCAAAGAAATTGATATAAGTGTATATAACGTGACGAAAAGTGGTACACCAGATTCAGTAATTACAGCTTTGAAGTCAAAGATAAGAAAAACAAAGTCTCTAAAACTAAGTATTCCAAAGGATATAATACAAAATGTATTAGATGCAAATAAAAACACTTTACAGTTTTTCATTCAGTGTTTAGGCTGTGATAAAAAAGCAAAAATGATTCTAGTTCACAAGAGAAGAAAACGTAAAGCTGCAAAAACTCGAGACGGAAACAAGCATGTCAAGCTTCATAAGCGCCGCCCTATTCTATTTGTTTATTCACATCAAACAACAGGAAGTTAAAGTTTCTTACAAGACATACCTTAATATTATGTGGCTGTCTTATATCTTAGACAACGATATTTTGCCGTGTAGGCAAGGCAATGCAAATAGTTTAATTCTTGAACAAAATATTCTGATAGAAGTTAAGTAAAGGTATCGACGCAAGAACTGAACATGGCAAACTGTTTCTGACCGTTGATTTAGTTCCAACAAATATATGAAAACTTTGGCACTTGGTATGTGTTTATACAAAGCATATTCGAACAGAGTGGACAACTTGGTGTGTGGTGAATGGATACTAACTACTAACTAGATCTATAAAATTTAGTTTCGTTCATTTAAAACCGTTTATTTGTGCATTATAAAAATGAGAAATTGAATGCATTACATTCCTTTTTTTCTGAATGTTATATATGAAATATAACTGAAGATGTATCTATAGTTTGTTCTATTATGATTTATTTATGTAATAATAGGTAATAAATATTACAATAATGTTTCAAGTTCGTAAACCATTGAAATACGAATTGTTACAAGTTCGCCATTGTTGTAAATTTTAATGACAATATCGCTATTGTTGCAATATTTCATGAACAAGAAAAATGGCGACTTGATCACTAATCTTGCCTGTTTTATTAAAACAAAATGGTATCTAAATCAAAGGCGAAAAAATGAATCATCTCATTGCAATACGTATAAAATGATATTGATGGAAATGTTATAATTTTACATACGTATGTTAATTAGATCGCAATATACGAATATTGACAGCATCTACATTTTTGTGATATTTCATTAAAATACGAATGTAGACTACACTGGATTTCATGCATATTTTCAAATGATTACAGTGGTGACTTCATCGCTAGTGATGCAACATTCATTAAAATTAGGATAATGACTATTTGCTTTAATTCTTAGTAAATGGTCAATGCTAATTAAGCTGATTAAGAATATTCATTACATTACTAATTCCTTAATCTCGATTCAGTTTAACTTTAAAATACTTCAAAACTGTCCCATGATGTACTCATTTTAATAGAATCAGTTATAAGATCGGCCAGTATTGAATTGTTAGTTATTTGTTTATAAAACATTTCACATGTTAACGAATAACAGTAGCCAAATCGACACTTCTGATGTTTCCCTGACGAAGAATAACTTCTACATCTACAGATAACTTTTTTTCCACACCTATTGTTGTTATGTAGACATTCGGTGTTTTTATGTCAATTTCATTAAGACCTTATTGTACCTATTCAATGTGAAGGACATTGTATGGTAATGCATTTTGCATTAGTTTACATTGAACATAAAAATTAAATAAAAGTGTCAGAAAAAAACCCTGAAATTTTAGAGTTTGCTAGTTAAATGATAAGCCTATCAAAATTTGAGATAAGTCAAAGATTAGTTCTGAATGGATTTTATCCTAGAATTCATTGCGAATAAATATCACATAGTTAAATCATCAATCCTGCCAAAGAAAATTTATGTGGAAATTAGTATGACGTTGATAATGGTGATACGTGATGATATACAGTCTGGAAAAAATCAAGGAAATATTTTGAAAATATGGAAATATGATGAAACAGCGGTTAGTTTGAATGCTAATATTTATAAATATGATAACAATGTTAATAGTATCAGTATACATTAAACATATTCCTTTGTACAAAATTAGATACATTATCACAGATATTTGATTACGGCCTGTAAAAAAATTCGACAAATCAGTGTATTAAATATTGACTTTGAAAACAAAGGTGAAACAGTAGTATAGATCGTCCATACTGCATTTAAGAATTTGTGGCAATTATAGCTTTTAATTTACATCCTTAGTTTGCTTTAAACACGTGCAAGTTTGTCATTTCAATACATTGTATGAAAACTGATATAGAGCAAAAAAGTTATTTCATTCTATTATTATTATTATGTCTCCCCCACCTCGGGGGGAGACATATTGTTTTTGCCCTGTCCGTCCGTCAGTCCGTCCGTCCGTCAGTCCTTCAGTCCGTCCGTCCATTCTTCGTTTCCGGACGATAACTAGAGTTCCTTTTGACCTACAGCTCTCAAACTTCATAGGATGAATGGTCTTATTGAGCAGATGATCCTTATTGTTTTTGGGGTCAGTAGTTCAAAGGTCAAGGTCACAGTGACCGTTGGTCAATTTCTCGTTTCCGGGTGATAACTAGAGTTCCTTTTGACCTACAGCCCTCAAACTTCATAGGATGATTGGTCTTATAGAGCTGATGATCCCTATTGTTTTTGGGGTCAGTAGGTCAAAGGTCAAGGTCACACTGACCGTTGGTCAATTTCTCGTTTCCGGATGATAACTAGAGTTCCTTTAGACCTACAGACCTCAAACTTCATAGGATGATTGGTCTTATTGAGCAGATGATCCCTATTGTTTTTGGGGTCAGTAGTTCAAAGGTCAAGGTCACAGTGACCGTTGGTCAATTTCTCGTTTCCGGATGATAACTAGAGTTCCTTTTGACCTACAGCCCTCAAACTTCATAGGATGATTGGTCTTATAGAGCAGATGATCCCTATTGTTTTTGGGGTCAGTAGGTCAAAGGTCAAGGTCACAGTGACCGTTGGTCAATTTCATACAACCTTAACAATAGAAACCATCCATAGACAGCCTTCATTGAAGTGACTACCGGGTATTTACATTATCTTATCTCCATTTCCATTCCTGTTTCCATTCACAGTTATTCTCAGCAGTGGGGGAGACATGCGCTTTTTTACAAAAGCATCCTCTAGTTATTATTTGCAATCGAACTTTTTATCTACATTTTCCATGAATTAAAAAAAAAGTTCTAACATTCTCAGGAAAGTCTTACTAAACAATCATTGTGGAAAAAAATGTTCAAAACCTCCAACTATAAAGTATTAAATTTTAATTTTAGGCAGTTTAACGTACAGATATATCTTATCTTTCTGAAATTCTTTCACCAAACATTTGAATACCCGATAATGGCCGATATAGAATGTTGCAGATGAATGAATATTCAATGTTTTTTTTAGTCTTCCCTACATCTAGTGCCATTCCGTGGATTTTTTTCAGACACGAACTTGCGCATAAGTCGGTGGGTCAACTTTTTACCTGAAATAATGCTCCTAGGGGCAACTGAGGTCTCCATCAAGGGGTGAAGCTGTGAAGCCTCGATATGACTTTTATAGTATTGGTGCGACGAAAGAAAAACATAATTTAAAAATTAAACATAATCAAAATTGAATATAACCACGATTTCTGTTCCATTTTATTATAACGTGGTATCAAAAATTTAATTGTCATAAAAAAACAAGAAAAGAAAACGAGCGGTAAACACCGTTATTAAGGTGTGTTGGTCTGAATGGTATTACAGTGTATGCTGTCAAGCGTATCAAATTCAGTAGATTATTCCACGAAATGAGAATTCTTTCCATCGTAAACATGTTTTGTTAGAACGTTTATAATATCTGTCATTTTTTTTAAAAAAAATATTCTTATTCTCAGAATTTGTAGAATTCGATGTAATATTTAACCTAATAGCAAATAAATGCACGCATTCTGTAAAACAATCTAAATAAAGGCGGATTATACAGCATCATATCGTGATTAAAGTTCAATTGTACTGAATGTCCCACTACGAATACAAACACTTAATTAAGTCAGGAATTAACGCCATTGTACATGTAAAAGAAAGATAAAAACAGTTTAATTGTAAGTCTTTAAATTTCTAAAATGCATGTGTTATAAAAACGTACATTGCACTAAAAGAATGTTTTTCCAGTTTAAAAGACATAATCGAAGCGTCTTAGAATTAATCAATTATAACCATTTAGGCAACATTTGCTGACATTTTGTTTCGTAAATTTAAAAAGAAAAAAATCTACTGAAAAGCAAGTATGAATGTTTTTAAACATTCTTGAAATGCCCTGCCAGAAAATCAGTTTTATACTGTTGCAAATAAACGTACACCACTAGATTATATTTATGTGTTAGGTAGAACTTGTCTATTATTTTCTAGTATTATCTCTTTTATCCGGCTAATCTCTTTTAATCCTCCTATTGGAAGAGAACGCCAAGTAGGTATATGTTATAATGGCATTATGACGCAAGTCTGTTAACCGTGCAACAAGGTTACATTGTTATAGCCTACGATGTAGTTTATTTGACCTAGCTGCACTGATCGTAACTGCCTCTATGTATATTATAGGGCGTGATGCAGATCTAGGGCATCTTTCGATATAACCTCTTGTATCTTATTATGGAAACAGTTCTCATTCATTTATCATATATTTTCTCATAACATGTTATTTATGTAATCAAATGATGTTACTGTATTTTCGAACATACACAATTAAAGTGACATTATGCTCATTTTTTAATTGTCAAGTTGAGTTGAATTGACTGTATATTTCAAGAGATTAAATGTTATAATGATGAATGGCCAACAAAAAATGTTTAGGATAAAATAGATATGAAAAGACTGCCCATGCTTTTTATCAAATGAACGTTACAGGTAAATTCCGATGAATATATAATATAGAAATCTTTGGACCTTGGTGTTATTTATTGATAATGAGAAGTTAATAATAAGATTGAAAGGAATTGTGGCAAAATGTAACTTATTTTGTCTTTCACCGGTACACTCACTATATACCCTTTGATGGGCATAACATCACTTTAAATCGAACATACACAATTAAAATAATGTCTGCTATACAGATGCTATAATGTAAAAAATGCTTGTAGGCGGTACCGATGCAAAGATGTGTCTTATAAAAAAACAGACGGTGAGTCTGTGTATAATAAACATTTATTATCACTAATGGCTTATGATGATTGATTTATTGCTATAAGATCATACCCGGAGATTATGATATAATATAACATTTATCGTGACATAATTATCAGGTTCGGTTATAAGATAAATGTCAATGTTCGTATCTTTCATTACTTTTGAAAGTATTACACTATTACTGATAGCAAGATTTGACACAAAGGCATTTGTCTGGGATAAAGAATGTTGTAAATATGTTTGAATCTTGATCAATCAGTTAAGTGGCCTATATTTGCAACTATAAATTACCCTTCAATAAATCTTAGAGATCTTCAACAATACTAAAATTTGATATGTTCAAACAGTAAGAAACGCAACGATTGTAAAATGATTCCAAATTGTGATTGGCTGACCAATTCTTGCACCAAATGCCAGACAGGAAAAATAATGATTTCCAAACAAATTTATATTAATGAACTGCGATTTATAATTAAGAATAATAAATACCATGTTTTCTATCTTATTTGATTTATAATTAAGTATAATGAACGTTTTCTGTCTTATTTTACGAGTGGTACTGTTTTTATTGGTGGTTTGTAAAAATCTGTCAGCAAGTACTTTATGTGAAAATCAAAGGAAACAGTAATTCTTTAGCATAGAACTTGAAGGTCAAATTAATTTTATACTAACTAAATGTTGTCCTTGTTGTTATATATATATTTCAACAGATCACTTATAAAGACATTTATTTCGAACATCTTACGACTCGTATATATATATATATTGAATTTTCAATATTTGAGGTATCATTTTTGCCAGTTCGTTTATTTGATATAAAGATTTTCTACAGTTTCGTTCTGTGTCTGCCATCTATAATGTTGATCTAGAATGCTATATCATAGAGTTACGTTATTGACATGTTTTCAAATTATTGGCAAAGTCAAAAGGCAAAAGAAGCAATTTATATAACCATTTGCGAAACTGTAACAATTTTCTGGAAAAAAGTTATCCCACGGAAGCATTAAAAACATTTAAATTGCATATTCGGTTTGATTGAGTCTGTACATGAGGGATAATAAAAATGTACAACATCCCTCACACCCCCTAGCACCGGCTTGAGCGATACTCAATCCTCAATACTGAAAAGTGTTGAAATCCCGAAGGACCAGAAAAATATAACAACACTGAAGTGTTCTGTAAGTCACAAAATAGAAAAAAAGATCTCAAAAATAAAAATTAGGCTTGATGGGCCTTAAACATAAAATATCCAATTTTTTACATTAACGGGAAGAGCAAATGATCTGAAATTTTGCACACAAATTATTGGTCAAGACTTACATCAAGTGGAATATAAATCTATAAAAATCATTTCTAGTCACATCGTGTTAAAAAAACGATTAACAACATGAAAAATATGGTGGCTGATTTGTGCCAATCGTGTTTTTGCCCCGCAACCACGCCAACCAAATAGTGGAGAACAAGAGCCATGTCATCATGGCCATCCCCCGCCGAATGTGTTTGCTCATTGGAAGAATGTTTATGTAGTAGAGCAGAATAATTCCATTTTAAGAGGTCTTTTGGTAATGAAAACTGATGGCTGAAGTGATTACAGATTTGAAACCTATGTGAATACTGATGGCTGAAAATAACAAAGGGCAATAACTGAAAAATAATGCAGGGTAGGTTATCATTCTTGTGTGCTGCACCCCTCCTCAGTAAAATCTATCCACCTATGAAGTTTCAAGTTGATACCTCAAATACTTTTTGAGATAAGCTCCGGACAAAATAGTAAACAAAATCAAAGGGCAATAACTCAAAAATTATATAGGGAAGAGTTATTATTCTTGCGCACAGCATTCCTCCTCAATAAGATCTATCCACCTATGACATTTCATGTTGACATCTCAAACACTTTTGAGTTATGCTCCACTCAGGTGAAAAATTAAGTATGAAAAATAACAAAGGGCAATAACTCAAAAATTATGAAAGGTAGAGTTATCATTCTTGTTCACTGCACACCTCCTGAGTGACATCAATGCACCTATGAAGTTTCATGTTGATATCTCAAAGGCCGTTTGAGTTATGCTCTGGACAAAAATTAATTTTGAAAAATAACAAAGGGCAATAACTCAAAAATTATGCAGGGTAGAGTTATCATTTTTGTGCACTGCACTCCTCCTCAATGAGATCCATCCACCTATGAAGTTTCAAGTTGATACCTCAAATACTTTTTGAGATAAGCTCCGGACAAAATAGTATGAAAAAAAACAAAGGGCAATAACTCAAAAATTGTATAGGGAAGAGTAATCATTCTTGTGCACAGCATTCCTCCTCAATAAGATATATCCACCTATGACATTTCATGTTGACATATCAAACACTTTTGAGTTATGCTCCACTCAGGTGAAAAATTAAGTATGAAATATAACAAAGGGCAATAACTCAAAAATTATGAAAGATAGAGTTATCATTATTGTGCAATGCACACCTCCTGAGTGAGATCTAAGCACCTATGAAGTTTCATATTGATATCTCAAAGGTCGTTTGAGTAATGCTCTGGACAAAAATTAATTTTGAAAAATAACAAAGGGCAATAACTAAAATATTATGCAGGGTAGAGTTATCATTCTTGTGCACTGCACTCCTCCTCAATGAGGTATATCCACCTATGAAGTTTCAAGTTGATACCTTAACTATTTTTTGAGATATGCTCCGGACAAAAATGTCGGACGGAAGGACGGACAGAGACTATTTCTATATCTCCCGCCGCCTTTTCGGCGGGGGATAATTAACAAGTTAAAATGGCGGGGGCGCGGAGCGAAGACACACAATCATGTTATAACATCAAGGGATATATCATGTTCTCCAGAAATGAGATAGCTGGATCTACATCTGACAATAATATATTGAATAATTCATGCTTGTATTTGTAGGAATCGCTCCATTTAGAAAGGCAAGTTTCGTTTTCCAATTTATATGTTAATATTTAATTGACTTACTTACCAGTAGGTGTGCTGGTATTTTACATGCATATTATACACAAGTCATGCATTTTGTTTGTTTGGTTTTACGGCACACCCACACTATTAAGGTCATTTGTCATGTAAAAATCAGATGACCGTAAAACCCGGTGCAATATACGTTCAAATGCAAATAAGTTGAAAACTTTAAAGGAAATCACTTAGTTAATGTTCCATTTGATGTAGGTCTAGACCAATAACTTGTGTGCAAAATTTTAGATCATTAGCTCACACCTTTTTTCCAGAATGATTTTACCAATTGTGAAAAATGACCAAAACTTTTAAAAGCGTTGCTGCGCTTTTCACTTAAAACGTGCTAAAATACCACAAAAATATGATTGTCTTTTTATTTCTGAGTATATTTCTTATTTATCTTTTGTATATTTTTCTGTTTTAAATGTTCCAGCTGATCTACGTAAGAAATTCAAAATTTCATGTTTTTTTTAGGCTTTGAAACTCAGTAGTGTACCTTATATATGGTAGGAGGATCGCGATTGTCCGAAGCATGTTTTATCCGAAATATTCGCTCGCGACAACAAATGTATCACAAAAACTAGTGTTTTTCTGAGCTAAGTATCTAAATATGTCTTGTGAATAGCTATCATCCAGAATATTGTTCTGAATCAAATATTTAAAGAGAGGCATATACAGTACATGAATAAAAAATAAACTTCGGTAGGATAGTAAATTATTCCTGCCGTCATTTACAATATTATACATTTCCCCTTTGATAAATATTCTCAAGTAAGAATTTGTGACATTTAATTGATCTGGAAAAATACTCAAATATAAAGATGTGCACGTTTTTAAAACATATGCAAACATACCATTCGCCTTCCATCACTTTTAAAGACACTGAGCCATTTTTAAATTCAAAATTATTAAATAAATGTTTTTTTTATGTCCAAATGCGTATGTGTTTTCTATGAGTTAATCAGCCGTTGCTCTTTATATGTGTTTGTATAAGTATGCTGAGCTGAATGTATTGTATTTTTTTCAAATAATGAGAATTTTAATTCCAGATGGGTTCAAATACTAAATTATTGTTCAGATGATAACTATATGACATATATGTTTTGATATATCATTTTGTAATTTAAGAGGGGGATTTTGTTATTTTATCGGATGTTGACGCAGCGTTATTGTTCGCATAATTACATTATTTTGACTCAACAATAACTTGTTCCTGATTTGTAATATGGTATTTTCAGTGACTTGAATTAATCATGTTATGATGTAGGAGCATGCGCAGACTTGTCATTAAGTTTTTAGAATTAATCATTCAATAAATAAAACGGCATGTTCTTCGAAATCTGCGCTTCAGAGTCGATCGTTTGGAAATATATTTGTATTAATAATGTTTTCTTGCTATACCAGCCTTATAATTCAGAACATATGCTAGAGCAACATTTGGAATACTTAGAAATTTCCAATTTAAAGGTATAATTGTTTCATTATAACCATTGGAACTATTTTTTCTTTTAAATTGTTTAGTTTAAATTCATTTGAAATATCTGGTTTGTTTAACAAAATTAAAAATATATTAAATAAAAAGTAAATCGAAAATATAGAAACAGAAATGTGTGCGGAGGTAAGGTTTAAGCGATGGTTATTTCAATCAATGTTCTTAAGTATTTTCATCTAAAACAGTTTTGAGTGGATTTTTTTTCAATCTATTTTACTTGACAAAATATTGCTTATTATCTGTTACAAATATTATCAACGGTTAAAATCACCATTATTGTTCGTCTTCGATAAAAATTTAATAATATTTACATTGATAATATTTTATTCAATCTGTTATGAAATGAAAAAAAATATTCTTCACACAATTGTTTATAAAAATGAAAATGACATATTTGTACTTGTAAATTTTATCAACTTGAAAAATAGTTCATAATTCACACTTATCTATTTTGTTTTAAATTAACAATATCATTTTTTAATGTACCTTTAGTAAACGTAAGTAAATATCTACATTTCATTAATTTCAATACTCTGACAAATGTTAATTCAGCACGAAAAAAAACAAACAACAACAACATAACCAACAACAAAATGCCTTGCTGATGCACCGGTCATGATACTGCTGCAGGTTGTAAAAACATTCCGCTGTAGAGATTACATGCCGAATTTTTTGCCATATTTCTTTCTCGCAGTCAGATTAACATATGAAGTTATTGGAATAGTTCCGTAACATTCTTTCGTTTACTCTAATAATACAGGTGGAGATTATGTTATGATTATAAAATCTCTTATGCCATCGATCAGATAAATAATTTTAATGCATTCTTGTATAATGTCAATGCTTTTATATTATATGTGAGAAGCATTGTTAAGTTCATCATGAACTTTTTATGAATGGAATTGTGTCATTTATTTTTTGCCCTGTGCTTTAATTATGTTCAGAAAAAGCAAAATGATGTTGTTCGGTGACACGAATATAAAAGTTAATTTTTATCTTACGTTCGAAAAATTAGTATGGAAATAGTAGTATGAAAATTAATATTTCACATAAAAAAATTAAAGTATACTTTAATGATTTCAATAACATCAATATTACAATTTTGGACATTCAAACGTTTCCTAATTGGCATAATTTTATACATATGTTTCTGTTGGCATTTTGTGTCCTAAGTTCTTAAAAGGCCCTAATGTACAAGTGGAAACTATAAATGTTATTTAAGTATGTCGCAAGTTTGATCGTAAATATGTGGAAATATATTTTTTAATACATTTCCTTTTCGTGTTTAATTACAAGTCAATAAGGAAAAAATATTAAAAGGTACATACTACTTCTAAAATGAATAATGTTGTCCGACGGAAGAGGTAAACATGTGTTAAATAATGTTCAACTAATAAATTGAAAGCATATTAGATGTCTATCACCGATAGAAACTAAAATGTAATAAGCTAAGTGATATTTTGACTTCCATGTAGAATACTAAGTGACTTTTTACACTAACTACCAACAAAACAGGGAACACAAGAGATTGATCAGGCTTATGAGGTGGTTTTTGTTGGGTTTTTTTGTTATTTATTTATTAATTTATTTATTTATTTATTATTTTAAACCGTATTAGGTCACCAAATGTAAAAAGCTTTTAAGAAATAAAGATAATAACATTTTTGAAAACTACCGGACAAGCCAATGTGCATTTAATTATTTGCAAACTATAATTATATTCTGTATTTTATATGGTAAAACTACGATCTAAAGTTATCTATCTATTTGCTTCAGTATTATTTTCATATTGATTAAAGCATTTCGGCAAGAAATTCAGGAGAAATGCCTTATTTCTTTGTTATTGTTGGTGTTGTGCATTCTTTTTCTTCCGAGTTAGTTGCATTATCGGTTACATTCATTCATAAAATCGCTCGTTATTGTCATAATTTTTTACTTAATTGATCACACACCGAATAAAACCCCATGATTTCCGATCTTTGAATTAATGTCTTTCAATAGTGAATTGGAATTTTTAAAAAGTGTTTAAAAAAATATTTTTTGTAAAATGTAAGAAACAATAATGAATGATCTTTTTAATAAATAATAATTTGGAATTACCAAAATAAATTTTGCAAAGTAAAGTTTAAATTATTTCTAAAGGATTGAAATCACTTATTCTACAATTGCATCCATATTTTAAATTTCTTTATTGCAATTTCGAAGTTCAAAATGTATCCTTCTTACATTTATCTTGATAAAAAAAATCTAGAATTCCAGGTAGAATAATCCTCATCGACGATCATAAGAAAACATGTTATATCTATGAATATGTATTATTAAAGAAAACAAATAGTGAAATATATATAGTTCTGAACAAGTGAAATTTGAAATAACTTTAAAACTTTAAGTTGAAGTAAAGAATGTAAAAACTAAAAAACAACAACAAAACTTGAAAAGCTTTCTGGTAAGGAGATGGTAATATTGATGTTTAAAGTGAATGTAAATCGTACAAATTCAAAACGCTTAATGTGTTATATATATATTTTCCGTGACGCTGTATAATGCACAAGTCTCAAATCAAATGTCTGTTTTGCTGTGTCCAATTACAACTATATCATGAATGAATACTGAAATAATCTGGTTACATGATTTTATTGATTACATGACAAGAAGGCAATTTGTCATGTTATTGAAACCTTTTAAGTGCTAGAATAGGTAACAGCTCAAGGTTATAGATTTAATTATAGTGACAGTGAACATTGCTGTTTTCAAAACAAAATCGCCGATACAGAATGCATTGACAAAAGCTACTGCACCAGTACATAAGTACTCAAGGCTATTCTATAATAAAGTAAAACCACATATAAATTTGCTAAACATTTCTGATTAATATCATCCTGTCAATTTTTCTATCACTGATTTAGATTAGGAAAATATTTGTTTATTATGGAAAAAATGTTGTTCATTAAAATATAAAACGGACGCGAAAAGATACCTACTGATTTGGTATTACGCTTATTTGCTATAAATTCAAGTATAGAGTATAAGAGCGTTTTCATTGGGACACTTGTGAAATAGTATAAACATGTCTTGGTAATGTACATACATGTTGGGCAAAGGACAGTTGCTCAAATCATCTTAGTAGAAGCTGGGGTTTTAGATGTTTGAACGAAGGTTATGCTTTTGCTATAAATACCATAGACAAAGATTATTGATTTACATATATTTATAATGTGAATAAAATAGAACATATGAAACGACAAATTCTGATGAATACAAACGAGATCTATAATTTCTTACTAGATAGATAGATTGATTTCAGTATTCAGCAATAACATGGTAAAACATATCCAATACATGATAAAACAATAAAAACAAATATCAATGTATAAGAAATGAACCATATCAAAAACAGCATACCAAGGATAACACAAGATAGAGAACTTCATCTCTTATTTCCATTGTGGTCCTTAGATATTGATTGTTTTGACAGTAATAACATAAGCAAATTTCATGTTATTTAAACATTATTTAATAACGCATGTTTGACTTATTTTTGTTGGTCTTTCTGTGACTTTGTCGGACAATTAATGATTTTAATGTATTCCTAATCCATTAAAACACATTTTCTACTTCAGAATGGATTTTACATCAACGCCATTTCTTCTACTTTTATTTCACTTGTGGATTGGGAAATCTATTAGTATCCGTCAGCAGGCACCACGAAAAGCACTTTCACCGCATCAGTTTGAACCTCTACCGCATATTGCTTTGATTAAACAGGAAATTCTACGTAATCTTGGAAAATCAGACGATCCTAAAACGCGCACTCCTATACACAAATCAATGCCAAGTAAGGATACTGATGATGAAGTGAGTGAATACAAAGTTACCGACATAACATCTTATCACTCTGAACCGCCAGGTACGTTAAAACAATAAAATAAAGTTATACGTCATGTCGTTTTTAATCTTTTTATGGTTCTTATTGTGTAACACCAAAGTCTAATACTACTAAAGGTAGTCTTACAGTAATGCTTTCCAACCAAATTGTTCCATAAATATCGTAGCAAATCGGTTATTTCCGGAAGATTTTTTTTTCAAAATGCTTGGATTATTTACAATCACTTCTCATTCATTGCTGTGTACTAAATTCCGGTTATAAACGGTTAAAATTATTAAATACTGAACATCGTGAAAAGTAACAATCCGGAAATCACTGATTAATTACTATATTGGCCGATGTTGGATTTTTTCGCGGGAGAGCATTGCAGTAAGACTACCTTAAGCCGTAATGGTATTTCACTTTCCATTGCCTCTATTGACATGTAAGGTAAAACCAAGCTGTATATTATTTTCTTATATCATATGTATTATTGAATATTCTGATTACTACATACAATGTCAACATAATGTCATTTTTTCTACAATATTTATACCTCAACATATCCCTTTAGATAGAAACCTCAAATAGCCTTACTGTATTCTGATGTTCTGATTTAATTTTACTCGGATAGAGAATATTCCCCGGAGATACTTCTTATATCACCCATGGGTACCAGAGTATCACTTTCTTAGAGAATATTCCCCAGAAGATACTTCCTGTATCACCCTGGTATACATAAATATCACCTTCCTAGAAAATATTCGTCATTCTTTATGGCATTTGTATCATAAAAAGAACTTTTGAGAACCACATCAAAATATTTAAAGTTTCCTTTTATATTTTGTCATCTTTGAGCTAAGTAAAATTCATAAATTATATATATTCTTCATTGAATACTGGTATATAATTAGTGCACATCGTTTATACATAGCATATTAAAAGTGTTCATAGTTTTATAAAATACCTACAATTATTTTTACAGATAACTCTTCGGATGAAAACATTATCCAATTTAGTTTATTCAACAGGATCAATGGAAAACATATCCAAGTATATAATGTAAACCTTCTTGTGAGAATTAAATTGAAAAAGTCCAGAACAAACAAAAAATTAACACGGGATATTGATACAAGAAGAAAGAAAAGACAAAGACGTAAGAAGAATTTCAAAGAAATTGATATAAGTGTGTATAACTTGACAAAAAGTGGAACACCAGATAAAATAATTACATCTGTGAAGTCAAAGATACGAAAAACAAAATCTCTAAAACTAAATATTCCAAAGGATATAATACAAAATGTATTAGATACAAATAAAAACACTCTACAGTTTTTCATTCAGTGTACAGGCTGTGATAAAAAAGCAAAAATGATTCTAGTTCGCAAGAGGCGAAGACGTCAGTCTGCTAAAACTCGTCATGGAAACAAGGTGGTCAAACTTCACAAACGCCGTCCTATTTTATTTATATTTTCACATCTAACAGATGGAAGTTAAATTCAATTGTAGTTTTGCTTTAATTAAGTAATAAGCAATAAGAAATAACTACTTATAAAAAATATTCTGACAGATATTAAAGTAAGGTATTAAAGTAAGAACTGACCATTGCAAACTGTCTCTTTTTTTCTTTATTTCTACTAAAATATTAAACTTTTTTATGGATTATGGGTATAAAAGATGACTTATTAATGCAATGCTTTTGTGTGATCAACCGAAGTGGACAATATGTTTTGTGATAAAGTGATATAAACAAATGACTAGATTTATTTATTTTATTTGAAACCGTTCATTCTCATGAAAATGAGAAATTGAATGCACTACATTCCTATTTCTGAAAGTTTATATGAAATATAACTGAAGATATATGAAAAGTTTTGTTCTATATGACTTTATGTAATAAGTATTCAATTGATGTTTCAAATTTGTAAATTAAAGACATACGAATAGTAACAATATCATTATTGTAACAATAATTTATTCAAGTGTATCATTTTGCTGCATGAAGACTGTTGTTTGAATATTTAAAAGCATTTATTCCAAATACCTGCATGAAAGTATTAATATATTTCCTTAAGAGTGAACAGCGTATGCACAAGTGCACAAAATCATTATTGCTACAACAATTTATTAAAGTGTATCATTTTGCTGCATGAAGACTATTGTTTGAATATTAAAAAGCATTTATTCCAAATACCTGCATGAAAGTATTTATATATTTCCTTAAGAGTGAACAGGGTATGCACAAGTGCACAAAATCATTGCTACCATACAGGAAACAACAATATAATACATTGTTTTTAGCATTTAATTATGTTTACTGCTTTTTTATGTGACTTTAATAACAGAAACAGTCAATGTTACAACTTTTTCGAGAATCGACAAGATTGTAGAAACAAAAAATACTTAACCGTTTATATTTGTTTTGTTTTTTTAAATATTTTATATAGCTTCATGACTTGTCGCTAGAGCGCAATTGTTAATGTATCCTCGAGTGTTACAAACTTCAAACAATACCAGGAGTCAAAACCACCTCATCTGCTGGAGCTAAGAGATACATAGACTCCAGAAATTCAGATTCATTTAGTCGCCTTATACGATCACGCACGGATAAACTGTGGCTGCAATTCTGATGCCTCAATCACTAAATGAAACCTCGCAGTCACAAGGAGACGCTATTGTTGAAATGTTTCATTTAAATAAGAATGATACATAGAAAGGTTTATATAAATACGAAAGGTGACAAAATCGACGAATTAATCTTAAAATCAGTAGAAATTATTTTCAAAGATACCCACAAATGAAACAATACAAAAGTACAATATAAATAATTATAAAAGTACGATGCATCATATGGTTATAAAACAGAATAATCCTTACACAATGTTTATAGTTTTATCACAAATATTGCTTCGCCTTTTCATACACGCAAACAGGTTATCATAGATAATATTTATTAAAGGGGAATAACTCTAATATCTATCATATTTTAAAACAGCTGTAGTTATGTTGGTTCTCCGCATTGATTTTGTTGTCTCCATTTAAAATATGCAGACTGCATTGATAACATTAAAAGTGTAGGACTAGGTCTAATATAAGTATATGTTTTTATCATTTTACCTCAGTTTAAACTTGGTGTGATTCGGAAAAAAACATCTTACTTGCGGGTAGATTTTAATATAAACTTACAATGATACCATTGAAAGTAACATGATCATATAAATACTTTCTATTATAAAAATTCTTTAAAAAAACAGAAATAAACACCAAACAACTAAGTGCATAATGGTTAAGGGCGATTTTAATGATAAACTATCTATCAAAATGTCTGAACGAATCCAGTATTATTCATTCAGTAACAATTTTAACAAATCTAATTCACATAAACGATGTTTTTCGTTATTTTTGTTTCTGTTCATTTTTTTACTATATCTTATTTTCATTTTACTTTTCATTTCCATTTTATTCCCGAAGAGCATCTGTTGCGCTAGTTTCTATCTACAACGATTAAAAAGACAACCATATCAATCATTTTATAAGATCATAGTTTTAGTGATTACAGATAAAATATGTTCTCCCTTGAGTACACTATTTTTTATTTTACTCATAGAAATTTATTGAAATCTACAGTAAATCAAAATTATTACTTAATATGATTTATTTGAATTAAAAAAAGGATAATGAATTAGCTAGTTAGGCTGCGTTCTCTATGACGGGACAAGTTAAGTGGGTCTTTTAAAAAAAAAACTAACGATAATATATATTCATATTGTGACCACTTATAGTGCTTATTATAACTTTAAACATAACATATCAATTTTTTTAAAAGTCAAAACAGGTTGATTATATATTTACAAGGAGACTAAGTAGAAATTATCAATATTTTAAAATGTATTATATCTTTAATTATTATAGACGATAAACACTGTATTTATAGCCGCTATTTTAGGATCAGTTTTAAGCACTTTCGTGTAACATTTTACAGACATTGACTTACTGTCTGGAAAATAACTATCTGTATTTAATTTAACTTAAAAGTTTCCCGTGGTAAAATCATGTTAACATCTGTTTGATGTTTTCTATTATTTATTTATTTATTTATTTATTCATTTTTTCTAAGATTTTTAAGTGTACAAAACATCAAATATGTCTAAATTGTGAGGCAAACAGGCAATATCATTTGCTGCCGCCGCATGATGCAATGTCAACATACTAATTAGCTGGTTTATTTATGGTCAATCGTTGACAAGATTAGCCAGTGCTTAACATAATTTTAGTTACATGCGCTGTTATGATATTATTATATAGAAATAATTGTGACCCTAATTTGTGTAAATATAATTCATTTAAAACCAGAATTAAACTCTAATCATTCATATTAACCAACTTCCTTTGCAATAATCAATGTCGGTTAAATTTGTTAAATGCATCTATTTGCAGCTAATGTAATGTCAAACTTTAATTCATTTCTTAGGACTAAATAGAAACAATGAACTCTAAGAAAGGGAAAAAATAAAATCTAATTTGCATTTCTAATTTGTTTATTAAACTCTTGAGAGAATGAGAGAAAAGTATGCCGTTATCGTAAACATAATTCGATTTTAAGTCATACTTAATTGAAAAAGCTGCAAGGGGTTTAAAACTGGCAAACAAACTGTACTTAAGTGACACAAATTTTGATTAGAAAAAAAAACGATTATTCTACGTTTTACTGTAAACTTTTGGCGTAATTGTCCTCTGTAAAAATAGCGTGTTATTTCATCAAAATTTTAATTTATTACGTTATTCAAACATTTCAAAATCATAAACAAGCAATAAAAAAGCAAGATTTTGAAATACTATTGTCTCCATCAACAATGTATACAATCAGAAAAAACCTACTACCGACTAAAAACAGTGTAGAAAAAAATTAAAGCGTATTGTTTTTTCTTCCGATATACAACAACCTCCCGCTGCGATGCATTGCTGTCGGAACCTGAATAAAAAAAATAATAAATTACATTTTAAAAAAATATTCATTTATAATCATTTCAACAGCAAAGGTTAAACTGCTGCTCCTCAAACTTTAAACGTTATATATCTGATTTGTAAAAAATGTTGATTGGTGGAAAATATACTGAAACGGTATTCCGGATTTTGATGTTACTGATACAACATCATAATAAGATGAAAGTCTATAAAAATAAGTTGTATTAAGTCTATCGAGATCATAATGTTATCTTTTAAGTCAATGACAGCTTATTTATAAACATAAAGCTCCACGAGACCATTGCGTCATTGTTCTGATACCATATCTATAGCATCTTCCATTGTTTCAAAAATGTATGTCTTCATAACCCATTTTCCTGTATCTAGCTTACTCCATTAAAATATATGGTTCCAAGGTATACGTCATACGGAAATGTATTTCCTATGTTAGGCCTCAACGTATTGCCATTGATGATGTCTGGACCATTCAGGAATACTTAATTTTTAGCAATGTCCGGCGCTTTTATTGTTACATATACGATATCCCGTGGTTGTGTCGGATTTGTGTCAATTTATAGAATGCCAATCTTCCCCTTAATGTTAGAAGGCGTTGTAGATGCAGTTTGAATTCCAGGCAAAGGTGTAACTTGTTACGATGATTTAACGCTTTATGGGTTTGTAAGTGTACTTAAAATAACAGTGGAGGTTAAAGCAACAACATGGTCGTCACCTTATATGGGAAACAAAAGATCTTAAATGAGAGTAGTTACAGATATTCCACGTTGAGACTTGTTTGTAGCAAACTGTATATTTTTATCAATCGAGATATAGACGAACCTTACCAACACAAATGCATAAATCTTTTTCTCATTCTTAAACTCATTTGGTATTTGGTCTTTTGTCTGACATTTCTTCTCTCATCATACTAAGCCAAAGTATTATATTCAATAATACTTAATATGTTTATGCCTCAGCTGTCAATAAGATACATTCAAAGCAAGACCCGAATTGTGATATTTGACTGATTTTTATATAGATAAAGAGACTTCTAAAGGTGCCCCAATGCGATTTGGAAGCACACAACTCCCCTGGCATCGGCTTAAGGAGAATTCAACATTGAATATGAAATGTTAAAATTTTGAATTAAGAAACCGATACGGTGTTGTGATGGAATATCCAATTAAACGCGTCAGTGCCATTCTTGAATAGGGACGCATGGTCTCCATATTATAGAATGCGTGTCCCTTTACGAGGTAAAAATGGGCAAAACAAAATAAAAGTGGAATATTAAAGGAAGATTAGAGGTGACTAATTAGTTGTCAAAAGACAAATTTAAAATACAGGCACTATATCATAACGTTGATTATACAGTTTTCAAGTAAGAAATACTTGAAATATCCAACTAGAATAAAATAAAAAGAAAGAGCCATAAGTTTTGGTTTGTTTGTTTGCATTTAATGGCACATTGACACAAAACTGGCATACCGCGCCGGATACTATAATTGTTAACATACTAGTATTAGACCTAAGAAAGGTTTATACAAGATTATAAAATGAGTTTGTAAAATCTTAGAATACATGTTTAATTCTTTTAAGTAGTCGATCAATGTTTTTGGAAGAACTGAGAAAAATGTTCTGAAGGTGAATTAACTCTGGTCCTTCTTAATCATTGATTCTATCATTTTATTGAGTTCCGTCCCCGGTGGTAGGGAGCGTGGGGGGTGTTTTTATTATCCCATGTACAGACTCAATCAAACTAGTCTGCAATTTTCATGTAATTTTGTTTTGATTTATGCTTCCGAGGTATCACATTTTATCCAGACTTTGGTAATATCTAGCACAAACCTGTGCAAGGTCATGGTATTCAAGGAGAAATATGTTTGACAGTGGAACATTCATTACAGCCTCATCGTCGCTTAGTAAAAATGAATGCGTGTAACTCTAGTGTTTCCTGTTCGACATCCAAGAGGAACCACTTGATCATGAAGGTTTACTTGAGATAGAGTTACTATTATATCGTGCTAATCGATCGTCAAGGATCGAAAATATAACATTCTGATTGAATGTCAATTTTGTATGGTCTCCACTCCACACGACACAAACAGCAAACAAAATCCCTTTAGAAAGCATAAAACGGCAAAAATTGGGAAAATGCAAATTTGGTTTGATTGAACTTGTTCATAGGCGGTACTGAAATTTTGAATTAAGAAGCATTCGCAGATGTTTTCATACGATTGTTATCATGTTACGTTAATTAAGACATTTATTGTCATTCTATAAAAAGCGGCATATGGTCTTGTAAACAAAGAAACCATTTACATTTACGTCCATTTCAAAGTGTTTTGAAACATTCAAATATCCCAAAAATCGCTGTTCTTTTCAAAAATTTTGGTGTATGTTGAATTATGAGTTTATCTGCCAGATTACAAA